GAGAGGAAGAGTGAGATAGAATCATCAATGGTGACAGAGAATCATTGATCGGCTGCCTCCTGCATGCCCCCCAATGGGGATCGAGCCCACAATCCAGGCATGTACCCTGACCTGGAATCAAACTGTGACCTCCTGGGTCATAGGTTGATGCCCAATCACTGAGCCATGCCGGCTGAGCTAGTCGGTGCTTTTCTCATAGCATCATTTGTTTATGGGTCAAATTCTGCCCCTCAGGTTTTTGAAATTGGCCTTTTACAGTCTGATTTTTGGCATTTGTTTTGTAAGGTCAAAGATTTTTTTTTAATACGTATTTTATTAATTTTTTACAGAGAGGAAGGGAGAGAGATAGTTAGAAACGTCAATGAGAGAGAAACATCGATCAGCTGCCTCCCGCATATCTCCCACTGGGATGTGCCTGCAGCCAAGGTACATGCCCTTGACCGGAATCGAACCTGGGACCTTTCAGTCCACGGGCCGACGCTCTATCCACTGAGCCAAACTGGTTTCGGCAGGTCAAAGATTTTTTTGTTCTTCCAGTAAGATTTCATGGCTGCAGTATTCTTGTTACAAATATCTTATTAATATTTTTTACTTTTTGCTGTACAAAGACCAATGAGTTTGAATGTTTCAGTCTTTTACATTGTTATTCCCTTTGTTGGCAACCTCCTCCTAACTTCAGATTAATATTTTCTTTGTCTGGGACCAATATAAACTAATACTTCATCATTTTAGGATCCACTCCACACAAACACTCTGATTACATTAGTGTTTTAAACCAGACTTATGGTTACTGATAACGGTCTCTGTTTATACTAGAAATTGATTTCTAAAAAGACACATATGTCTTCCAGGACAGCCTTTTAAAAATCAACATTTAATCAGAAAACTAAACAGAGCCTTCAATTAGAAATGTTAAACATTTTTATTTTCAGTGTGAAGGCAGTTGTTCTTCTATAGAATTTCAAAAATGTTCTTCCTTCAAACATCATGTGGGCAGCAGGCTCATCCCCAGTGCACTACTGTTCATCTTAAAATTATCAGAGCAATGAAAGTACCTGCTGTTTCCAGGAGAGGGGAGTTGACTCATGGAAGTTCTTTTCTATTTACCTCAAGGAAGGAGAGAAGGGTTTTGCTATTTTTTCAAGGAAGAGATTTTAGTAGTATAAAGGTAAAGTAAGTTTCAGGCAGTTTTTAATATGTTTATATTTATTGAAAAGAGAATAGGAAATAATCATTATGCTATTATGTTTAAGCTAGGCACATATGCTGCTGGAGGTCATATAGAGAAATCTTACAATTAAAGTGAACAGACACTGTCATTGTCTACTATGTCTTGTGTTTGGTAGACCATCAGATGCCCCTTTTAATATTAAAAGAATACCATAATTACTTACAATTATTTTTCAGAGTTGGCAAAAACAAAAAAACAACAGAAGGCTTAGATTGCCATTATTAGCAAATAGTAGAAAAATGCTAGCAGCCAATTTTAGCACACTTGGCAATAGCATACAATTAATTCATTATGTCTAACTTCTGCATTTTCCAGGGCTGTGATTTTAGTTGTTTAGCCATATCTTATTTTGACTGAGTAAATAAAAGTGAGCTGTTTAAAGAAAACAAATTTCCAGCAACTGATTTTTCTTAGTTTTATATACTGATTCAGTTTCTTCTGGTTATAGGTCAATAAAATTTGTCCTTTTGGTAAGTGCTAAAGAAAAAAATTGATGGTTACTTCTTTGTTTTCTTTCTTTCTTTTATTTTATTTTAAATATATTTTTATTACTGATTTCAGAGAGGAAAGGAGAGGGAGAGAGAGTTAGAAACATCAATGGTGAGAAAGAACCATTGATCAGCTACCTCTTGTACACTGCACACTAGCGATTGAGCCTGTTACCCGGACATGTGCTCCGACCAGGAATCGAACCGTGACCTCCTAGTTCGTAGGTCGATGTTTAACCTCTGAGCCATGCCAGCCAGGCTTCTTTCTCTATTTTAATTTTGCTAATAAAATATACCTATAGTTATCGCTTCATTAAAATGAATTCTGTGAAGTATTACTATAGCATTTATCATAATATTGCTATTATTTACACAAGACTTTAAGTGAAAAAAATGTCAGGCCATAATTTTAAGCTTAATTCAATACATTATTTTTTTAAAGCTATATTGACATATAATTCACTTACTATAACAATTCATGCATAAAACCCACACTTCTTAGGTGCCACCTCTCCATCCCCCCATTTAAAGTATACAGTGCATTGGTTTTTATTGTAATCAGAGTTAGGCAATCACCACAAGTGAATTCTAGAACATTTTCATCACCTCAGAAAGAAACCTTTACCCATTCATTAGCCTCCACACCCCTCAACACCAACCAGTGTGTACTGTCTTACTATGTTTTCCTGTTCTGGACATTTATTAAAATGTGGTCCTTTGTACTGGTTTCTTTCACTTAGCTTAATGTTTTAAGACTCATCTATGTTATAGTATATATCAGTATTTCATTACTTTTTATAGCCAAATACAATCCCATTGTATGGATATGCCACAACTGTTACCTATTTTCCAGTTAATGGACATCTGGGTTGTTTCTGTTTTTGGCTTTTATGCAAACTGTTGCTATGAACATTCATGTAAATGTATTTGTGTGTACTATATACGTTTTTATTTCTCTTGGGTATTTACCTAGCAGTGGAATTGCTGGGTCATCTGGTACCTCTATGTTTAATCTTTTGAGGAACTGCCAGACCATTTTCCAAGCAACTATACTATTTTACAATCTCACCAGCAATATGTGAATGTTCTAATTTTTTCACATCCTCACCAACACTTGTTTTTGTCTATCTTTTTTATTATAATCATTTCATAAAGTGGTTATGGTTTTGATTAGCATTTCCCTGATAGCTAATGATGTCGAGTATCTTTTTGTGTGTTTATTGGTTATTTGTGTTTTCTTTGGAGAACTGTCTAGTCAAATTTTCCCCATCTTTTATATATTTTTTCAAATTATTGAGTTATAGTGGTTCTTTATATATTCTAGATACAAGTTCCTTATCAGATAAATGCTAATTCCTCCCCTCCCCCTGGATTATTATTTTTTTAAATCTTTTTATTGATTTCAGGGAGAAAGGGAGAGGGAAAGAAACATCAATGATGAGAGAGAATCACTGATTGGCTTCCTCCTACGCGCCCCCACTGGGGATCAAGCCCGCAAACTGGGTACGTGCCCTTGATTGGAATCAAACCTGGGACCCTTCAGTCCACAGGCCAATGCTCTGTCCAATGACCCAAACCAGCCAGGGCCTGGATTATTTTTAAAAAGTTTTTTCTGTAGCATTCTTTCTCTGAAAAACTAAGTTTCTTTTATAGTTTCTTATAGTGTTTACTATTTGTAATCAAAATTCTTTGTAAGGCTACCATTTGTTTAGTGTGTTGCAAGAACTTTTCCTGTATTATTTTTAACTCTGATGACAATACAATGAAATAGCTTTATAATCTCTATCTTATACCTGAGAAATTTGAGGATTGAAGAAGTTAATCACTTGCCCTGGATCACACAAGTACTTAAATACTAAATAGTAGAGCTGCACCCCTGTAATGATCGGTGTATTCACCCTGGGAAGGCTAGCTCACCCATAGCATCGAATGTCATGGGTCAGATGTTTATCTTTTCCACTAAGAAGACTTCATTCTGGTGTCCATGATTTAAGAGCACTCGTTTTTCTCAGGAAGATCTTACTAGTCATCACTCCACTTCCTTCTCACCCACATGTGGAACAGACTGTACTTCTCAGGGCCCTCAGCCCCTATCTTCTGGAAATGGGTTCTGTAACCGAGGCATCAAGGAAATTCTGACATGCTATAACATAGATGAGCATTGAGAACATTATGCTAAGTGAAATAATCCTGTTAAAAAACCACAAATGCTATATGATTGCACTTACATGAAGTACCTAGAGTAGTCCAACTTAGAAAGTAGAAAGATGATTGCCAGGGGACTGGAGGGAGAGAGGAAGGAGTTACTATTTAGTGGGTACAGAGTTTTAGTTTTACATGCTGAAAAGAGCTCTGTGGATGGCTGGTGGTGATGGTAGCACAGCAGTGTGAATGTATGTAATGCCACTGAACTGTGTTTTACCACAATTAAATTTTTTTTAAACATGAAGAAAAGGAAAAGAAGCCACAGAAAAGAAAATATTGCAAATCATACTGCAAGTCCTGTTAAAGAACTTGTATTTAGAATATATAAAGAATGCGAGAAACCCAATGGCGGCATAGGTAAACACCTGAAATTGCTGCCTTGCACAACCACTTCAAAAATACAACTAAAAGACAAAACGGACATCATCCAAAACCACAGGAAGGCTGGCTGAGTGGAAATTCCACAACTAGAAGGAAAGAGAAAAGCACACTGAGACTCAGAGGAGGTGCGGAAGTAAAGTGCAGAGGTACGGAGGCACGCACGGAAAGGGCTGGCAACTGAGGACACGGTTGTCTTTTTCAATCGGGAGGGAGACACAAGCTCCCGACAGCCCTGACTTCAGTTCCAGGCGAGTCTCTGGGGACCCAGACTCACACGGGGAGAAACTGGACTGTCTGGCAGAGGGCGGAACTTGAGGGCAGCTTTCTCTCAGAGGTTCTTGCAGTGATTACCAGGACACTGAGACCCGGGACCTCTTAGGGCAGGACTGAGGAGCAGCCATAGCTGCTTGCTCCGCCCTGTTGATCCCCTGAGACCCCGCCCCACCCAAGCTGCGGCAGAGGCTTTTGCATATAAATGCCCTGGCCCTTTGCAATCTGAAAATTACCTAACAAACTGCAGATGGGCCAGGCAGACCCAGAACATCCAAAAGAAGGCCCAAGGCCCCATAGCAGCTTGCATTGCTTCACAGCTGGGCCTCATCTGGGCACCTCAAAATCACAAACAAAGAAGAGGAACCTGCAGATCTCTTCATAGCTCCTGCTGGGTAGCCTCAGGCAGAGGCTAAATTAGCACCTCCTTAGAGATCCAAGAGCCACTGAACCCAGCGGTCAGAGTGGGACCATCCAGATTACAACTCCTCAGATC